TATGTATGTATGATGTGTACGAGTACTCTGTATGCCGGTATGCAGACGAGGACAAGGCGCCGTTTTTTTTTTTTTTTTTTCTTTGTTCGTTTGTTTGTTTGTGGTATAATATTTATGATGATACTTCTCCGCCGGTGATCCGCCACAACATTGCAGACTACCGGTTCATCGTAGCGCTAAGGGCACGGCGGGCAGGTTTCGAAGCCGTGCCGGGCAAATTGTGTACCGTACCGCAGCTATGATGTGACCAGATACGTACGGACCACCGCCAGTCACTCATGGTACAAGTAAATGTCATGCGGTAGGCAGGCTGACGGACAGATGGATGCATGGATAGATAGAGAGATAGAGGGCGTTGTTGTATCATACTGATAAACTGTACTGTGCAGTAGAGTACCATACCAGCACTCCCGCGGAGCCAAGGTGAAGAGGCCGGACCGCCCAAAATGGCATCATACCGTAGCTAATTTGTCATATCCCTAATGATCCGACCAACTTTTAGCCCTCTCTACGCTACTCGAGTGTGAGTAGTAGAGAAGTGAAGCTTGAAATCTATCTATGATATCTTTTTTTTTTTTTCGTAATAAATATAAATATAAAAAAAACACCCTAGGCTTCTTGAACTGCTCGAAAAAAGAAAGGAAGAAAGAAAGAAGCTTGAGGAAAAATTTCTGTGATTGATTGATTGATTGATTGATTGATTGATTTAGCTGACGGTAATTTAGGTTGTTACCGTTGGTGTTTTATTTATTTATTTATTACTCTGTTGTGTGTAGTAGAGTACGGTAGAGCGCAGTACAGTACCATAACCAGTACTGTGCAGTACAGTACAGTATCGGTTTCTACTCCTGCACGTGAGGTGGTGGTACATAACATGGGATGGGTATTGTGCAGTGCAGTAGTAGTACAGATAGAAGGTGGGAGTTCAAACCTCATTTTTTTTTTTCCTCTTGCTTTATCTATTGATCGATTGCTTGCTTGCTTGCTTCGGTCCTAATTGTTTCCGGCAAGTCAGGAAAGGAAAGGAAGAAAGAAAGAAGTTTACATTCCTCTCGCTGGCATATCATGCATACCGCACCGCACAGGTACAGGTACAAGTTCAGCACAGGAACGGCGCATCACCCCAAATTTCAAGAAATCGACAATCCACGAAGGGAAATGGACTGAATGCCAATCCAGACAAGGTACAGTAGGTATAACGAGATCCGGGTATAAACGGGAAGGGGAAGGGGAGTGTCCATCGAACAGAGCTCCATCCTGCGGAGGCGCGCAAGTATCATGATATATTACCCTTAACTTACCACCGCCAATGAAAAAAAAACGTTTGCTATAAATTGTGGAGGAAAAGAGTCGAGACCATGCAGAGCCCGCACGACCCTCCCCCCTACCTATCATACCTACAAGGCATGGGCCGGGCGGGTACTCTTCGCGAACGGGGCTAGCTATCTACCTATCCCTCCCTCCCCACGAGATGGGGACGGCAGGAGCGGCAGCAATAACGCACAAACCACCACCACATCTATAAAGTACCAATGGGAGAGGTCGATCCTGCGCTCTGGCACTTGTACCTCTCGCCCTTCTCCTTCTCCTTCCTCTTCCTATCCATCTATTACCCTCTGCCTCCAATTCTACGTCCTCGATCAACGCAGTCTGCAGGTTTGAGAATCGAGTAAGCCCCGCCCCCCTCTTTACTACAACCACCGATCCTTCGTATTTATTCCAATACTAAAAAGGAATGGAAAAAGAAAAAAAAAGGGCAATTCTCGCACGATCCGCTCAGTGTGCGTAACGCAATCCTGCACGACATGCGCCCGGCGGGAGGGGAGGAGGAGAGGAGGATGAGGAGGACGTAGTCGGGTTGGATAAGAAACTCCTACTTGGTGTGGGAGATGAGGGCATCATTGGACCGGGGGGAGGTCAGCATCGCTATTGTTGGGGGGGCGGAAGAGTAAGAAGATGGAAGGGGATGATGAGAAGAGGAGGAGGAGGAGGAGGATGGAGGAGGATGGAGGAGGAAGTTGTTGGGTGGGTAGTTATTGGATGGAATTGAGGTTGAGGTTGGGGTTTGTGTATTGTTGGGGTGAGGGGAGAATAGAGCTTGTATGATATTGGAGGAATGGTGGGATTGGAAGATGAAAGGCATTGAGTTTAAGGCATGAAATGAAGTGCCTGAAGGAATTGGAAAAAGGAAAGAAAAGAAAAGAAAAGAAAGGAGCGAGAGGTGAGAGGTGGGAAGAAGTTTGGTAACAGGTTACTGGATAAGTACTGATTATCAAGGATTGCATTAACTGACTGTTGAATGGAAGGATCGAAAGGGCCTGTAGGCAGAGTATGTGGGTTAAAACCCGAGTTATACCTAGCCCACCTATGATAACTTACCTGCCTACCCACCTATCATACCCATTGTTGTGATAATATCGATATACACACTCACTTGTATCATACATAATATATTATAATAATTATAACAAATACCGAGAGGTGGATAAACCCCCCCCCCCCCCCCCAAGCAAAGAAGAAGAAATGAAAAAAGAAGAAGAAAAATACTCTCCGAAGATCAAAAAACAAAAGCGAAAAACATTTTTCCCAAAACCATAGGATAACTCACTTCTACCGCCGGCGGTTCGATTTAATCTAACATTAATAAAAAAATCCGCAGATCAATCCATCCCACTCCCTCTCCCTCTCCCCTTCTTCCGCTTGGACTCCTTCCACCACTCTGGGAATCTTGGTGGCTGAACTGCCCATCCACTCATCAGTCCATCCATCCATCCATCCACCCATCTATCATACCCATCCAATCACTAGCGTAACCCCCCATCCCTCCATCCATCCCTCCAATACCGGTAATTCCGAGAGAGAGAGAAAGTGAAAAACCGCCAAATAACCCATAAAGAAAAACCCATGTTAAACAACCCGCTGACTTGCCATATAATTTAAAAAAATAAAAAAAAGGTCTTCGAGTCATATCCCATGAATCCGGATCCAGGATCCTGGCATCCCCCCCCTGTCTTCTCTCCTCCGAAGGGCAAATGAGGCGTATCGGTACTTCTGATACTTGTATAGTAAAGCCCTCCCTTTTCCCTTCACTTCCCTTCCTTCACCCGCCACTATCACTGCTACTGATGCCGGCACCACTATCAGCTCCAGTAAGTCAGGCAAAGCAGGCAGACCGGCAGACCAATACCGGTATTAGGAAAGAAGGGTGAAACCCCTCTTCGGGGAAAATAAAATAAAATCACGAGGTTGGGGCATGAGCCCCCTCCTCCCCCTCGCCCGCCATCCTCGCCTCTCCGGGTTGAAGTGAGTGAGTTAGTTAGTAAACCCCCTCACGCATGAAGGTTCAGATGAGATCACGAGAAGGCAGGGAAAGTGGGGAACCCCCCCCCCCCCACCGCCCCTCTCCTCCCCTCCCTACACGCGGTATCTGTCATGCCTGTTTATCCATCCGTATCTAAGTCCCTCCTCCAGTGAGCACTCCACTATGTTGTACGTACGATAATCAGTAAGTAGTCATGCGAGCAACCTCCGGAGAGGGAGAAGTAGGAAATGCAAGTAAACACCAAAAACTCCCCAATATCAGCATACAATTCGTACAAAAACTACACTAATTAAATACACAAAAACCACCCCAATCGGCACAGAATACCAGTTCCTCAAGTGCGCAGAAAAGAGGGCAAAAAAAAGAGAAAGAAAGACAAACAAAAAAGCAACGCTGTCCTCACTCGCTCGCTAAGTAAAGGAAATACAGAAGGATATCGACAACAAAATAAGACGAGAAATCGAGAGAGAAAGGAACCACGCTATGCGGAAACTCACCCATCCAAGTATCATACCGTTAATACTCATAATCCCATACCTTTGGTTCGTGCAGAGAAGATAAAAGAGGCGAAAAAAGTGAAACCTTATTTCCAGTTTAATAAGAAAAAAGATATAAAACAAGGAAGAGGGGAACGTCGGGATTAAATTTCGGGGAAAAAGAGGAAAAAAAGAAAAAGAGAAAGAATAAAAAAATCAACCTCTCTCTCTCTCTTTCCCCCCTCCCTTTTTTTCATATATAAAATGTTTTTTTTTTGTTGTTGTTACGATGCAAATATTTTTAGTATTTCCTGCATTGCTGCGACCGTCTTGTGTGGGGATGAAAACGCAAAAATGACAAAAAAGCCACCCAATAGAGAAATAAAATACGGTAATAACGGAAGAGGAAAAAGAATATCAAGTTGAACCGCCCTGCGATGACTAAGGGAGCAATAAACAAGTTAATCACGCAAAAAAAAAAAAAGACAGCAACGCTCGCTAAAAAATCAATAAAAGTCCAAAATCCAATCGCTAAAACATCTGCAACGCTAAACAAATGAAAAAACAAATGAAAAGAAAATCAAGGGAAATCGCGTGACCGATAACCTGACTAATAGCCCAACCGGGTTAGGAGAGAGGAAAAAGTACACGGGGAAAAAATCAAACCAACCACCCAATCGAATAGTACAAGTGTTCGGTGCTGTTTTGTTCCTGGTGCTGTACGTATGTGCGTGAGATAAGACGGAGCGGGAAAAGGGAAGGGGAAGAGTTGGGTGAGAGAGGGAAAGAAGGAAGGATGAGAGGGGCGAGAGGAAGAGAAAAGGAAGCATAAAGGTGATGATAGAAATGAGCGGGGGTTCAGCGCATGCGGTGAGTCTATGTGTCGTTGTGTGTTGTGTTGGCCATTGTCTGAACCAGCAAGCAGCCTCGCGTCATACCGACTGAGCCCCCAAGACCGTCACCAGAAAAGTATTCATTCCCTCCTAGGGAAAGCCCCACCACCAATTCCTAGCACAGGAGGGTTTTGAAGAAAAGAGGACGAAATATCCCCAAAACGCGCAAGTCGAGGAAGAAATGAATGAAGGTTGACGTTGAAATCCCCTCATGTCTCATCGCCACCGTTGGGAATAGTAAAGAATGCGAGAAACGGCAAAAAAAAAAAGGAAAGAAAAAGGAAAGAAAGCGTATCGAGTATCAGGTTGTCACTCCCAATTCCTGCCATGCCGCTCCCCTCCCCTCCATTCGTGAAAACCAGTCTCAGTCATGTCGCCCTGCACCTGCTGCTGCCCCTGCTGCTGCTGCTGTCGTTGCTCTTGCTGCCCACCACCACTAATCCCGCCATCTAAGCCTCTCCGTGATGGCTACATGGTAGTTGCATACTCCTGATACCGGTCCCAACCGAACCCCCCGAATCCACTGCCAGTGCTGCACTGTTGTGCTACGAGACTGGGTAGAGGAAGTTGCGTCAGCGGGAGTTGATGCGATGGCGGCTGAGAGGAATACTGCTGCTGATGGTGCTGAGCCGGTGAGTTCATACTTGGCACCTCTGGCATTCCCATAGCCCCCCAACTAGATGTGTATGGTGCTGTATTCGTTGTTGGCGGACTATCCGTATCAGGGCTCGATGGGAGCACCCTCCATGCCTCGACGGGTGGTGGTGGTGGAAGGGACGGTGGTGGCGGAGGTGGTGTTGGGGACCACCAGTTGGCAGCTCCAGGCGAGCTCGGCAGCAGTGGTGGTGGGACTCGCACAACGTCCACGATTCGTGGTGGGGGAGGCAACAGCGGCAGGAAGAATCCCAAAATAAGGCCTCTAACCTCATCGCTCCGCCCGCAGAGCAACTCCCCAGCTCCATCATCCTCCATGCCTTCCAGCGCGATAGCATCCGTCCGATAAACAAATTTGTTCACTGTCTGCACAAACTCTTCATGCAGTCTCTTCACCTGACTTTCCTTCTCGGTCCAATGCCAAGTACAGGACTTCTGGTCGATCAGGTAGATGTCTTTGTGATACTCGATCAGTTCCTTTATTGTCTCGGGTGAAAGCTTGTATGCGATTTCGTTCGACATAACCAGGTCAATGTGAACAACATAGGCTTGAATGTGTAACAGCTGGTACCGGAAGAGGGCATCCAGGAGAGGGTGATCGTGCTTCTCGAGCTCGGCTTCAGGTGCGCGCGGTATCATGAGACTACACAGGTTCCATATAGCTGAGTCCTGCGATAGTGTCTCCGTCAAGCATTTCACGTGCTGAGGAACGCTGTTGAGTGGTCGCTTGATTCGGTTGATCCGTTTCAAGGTAGCGGTTAACCACGGGTCAACTGTTGTATTGAGAACGACTGTTGGTGATGAGCGGGGCGCAAACGGCGCAGCAGTATCTGGCAGCAGTAGGGCCGGCATTCTCGACATATAGGAAAGGGAAGCAGTAGTAAGCGTCTGTGAAGACGGGTATACCGGGGGAGGGGCGGCGACCTTAATATTAAGATTCCAGGTCGCAGCGCAATGTGTCCGAAGTAGGCTTGATGTTAGAGGAGAAGAGTGGGAAGGGAGGAAGGGAGGGAGGGGTAGATGAGGTAATGTAGGAAAGTGGGGGGTAGAAGAGAGGGGGGGGGGGGGGTGAAGGCAAGCGGAGGAGGGGTAGTAACGAAAGGGAAAGATGCTGGCAGAAAAATAACAAAGAACGTGAAAATGCAGACTAAAGTAAACAGTAGCGAAAGTCAAGTAGTAGGGGGAACAGAAAAGGAAAAAAAAAAAAACTCGGGATAAGATAGTAGTAGGTAGGAATAATAAGGGCTGTGACGGGGGGGGAGGGGGTCGGATCAGAGAGAGTGAAAGGAGCCGAGCGGGTGTGTGGGTGGGGAGTTCTTCTTTTATGTCTGTCTCTTGGGCCTATTCAATACACACGGACCATCCGAAGGTCCTCTGGGATGGCTGGCCGGGTCTTTGTTAAGGATGAATATGGAGGCCAGATAAGAGGAGCCCTGCTTGGTTCAACTTCCATAGGAAAAAAAGGAGGGAGGGATGGGAGGAGGGGGTATGAATAAGTGTGGGTGGCAGAGAGAGAAGCCCGGAGGCCACCTTTTGACTCTTCTGAATTTCCTCATCCTTTTGACCCTTCTTACTGCTCTCGGTGGTGGCTTTTGGGTCACCCATGCTCCAAGTCTAACCACCTTTCTAACCACAGGCTCTCGTCAAATCCCCTCCATTGATTTTTTCTTCTCCGATTGAGCCAGTGCAAATGAACCCCTCATTCTCTCGCGTCCTGCGCTCTTTGTGCGAGTGTGGACCTCGATTATGTTACCCCAGTTCTCTGAGCAGACTTGCCGGGCCCAAAAGTGAAATAATTTCAAATAAAATATCAAAATATCCCACCCGATTTCGTCTCGATGCCGTCTTCCCCCACCGGAACACAACTGAAAAATTGGAAAAACGAAATAAAATGATAAACTACCCCCTCCTTCCACACAGTTCAAAAGCAAATTCAGATAACATTCTGCCATCCCAGACAAAACGAGAAAGGCAAATATCGGATAATGCCCAGTGCAAAATCATAGTTGATAATGTACTCGTCCCGATTCAGGGAAATTCAGAAAACAATAGATAACATATGCATCCAGTTATGAGACCATAGAAAACCCGGAGTAAAGGGCAAGTCCCCTGTCGCGCATGTGGATGGGATGTGTGCCATTGAGGAGGTATGCTTCCCACACGGGGCATCCAGAGGACCGTTGCACTTCCGTATGGAGGCCGCGGCGGAGGGAGGGACATACCCCCCCCTAGCTTCTCCTCATGTTATTCTACAGAGCTCCACAGGCCCTGCCCAATAGTAGGCATCTAGCGCAGAGCGGATTTCCTCGATGTAGGTTGCCATTGGGGAGGGGGGGTCCTATTTTCTTTTTTCTCCCGACTCATTTGCGGAGGGTACCTTGCAGCTTCTCATTACTGTTCCTGCGTATGGGGAGCTGCGAGCAACATGCAATTTTCAGCACTGGCGTAACAAACTCCAAAGAAAACTTGGTAGAGGCGGAGAAAGGGGGGGGGGTGAGAAGGGGTAGAGGAATATGCAGTAAGAATAGCATTCGGGAGGAGGGGGGGGGGGGGCGAGAGGGAGAGCAGCAGAGTAACCAGATATCGGGGAAATTGTAATTGGATATGCAGCAGTTACTCGTGCTACTCAGAAATCCGTATACCGGTATCGGCACCCTGTGATGGTAGAAAACAAGGAAGGATTATACGGTATATTCAAACCGGACTAGTAGACTCACTCCTGAGCTAAAACGGATGACCTCCTCGGTGAGGCTGGCTAGGGACGATGGGATTGGGGTACTGATCCGGGAATATGTCCCCCAAATCAAATTGATGCCGGACCTGAGTATGGAATTTTTGGCTCCGGTATCTCTCCCATGATCCACTGAGTCTCTCTGAGTCTCTCCTGTCCTCACCGCCCTCCTGCTAAACCTTAGGTATCATCCCTTGTCCATAACTCCCGACGCCTCTGGGCTGAAATGAGAAATAAGTTTTCAAAATGATAGCCGATTTTCCATCCTCTCGGGCGATGGATCCTTGCCAGGGCTCCTTCCATTCTGCTTTATTTTTTCTCTCCTTCATTTTTCTGAAAGAGAAACCCCCCATTCCGGGAAGAGGGGCCAATGTGGAAAGGGTGTGGGAAGGGTTCAGAGGGTGGTGTTAATTATTTTTTTCAGCTTGAGAATGAGCCAGCGCGTGGCGATGGAGCGATAGGATTCGCTGAAGGCGATATTCGTTTGGTGGCACTTGTTTGAAGTGATGGAGATTTGTAGTTGATTGGCGTTGCGCTGAGGGCCGATGTACCCCTGCCCCACCAAAAGAGCATAGCGCGGATCTAGCTACTAACAAGTTAAAAAGATAATAAACCTCTACTGTGATTTTACATTTTCCCGCACCCAAGCATTCGATCCCAAGCGAGGATGAACAGCAAAACAAACAACCGCAGCACAGAAAAATCTACAGTACAGTAGGGCAAGAAAAAAAGAAAAAAATAGAGGGAAAAGACTGCTCGAGTAGTGAATACCCTCACCAGGTTCAGGAGACGAGAGGGGGGGGAACGAACATGCAGCAAACCAAAGAGCCGTCGTCACCGTGGCGAATGAAAAGCCTTGTCCTATCAGAGGAGGATAGCAGCGACAAAAACAGCCTTGCCAGTCGGTCCGCCCGTCAGCTCAAGAAGCCGTTCCTGCACTCGCGATCCAACGCATCCGCCAATCGAACGTGCAACTGGCCCCCGCAGCCGCTCTCGCGTGACTACATACCATGGGAGGCATCCGTTCACAAATTAAGGTGCAGGAGGCCGAAAGCCCCCAGGATTGGGTGAAGCTACAGTACAAGATGCTCGGTGGGGCAAGCTGGTAATCTCCATGTACTCGGCGACAAAGGGGAGACGCGGAAGATTGTGTGTGAGCGAGTGGAGCACGGTCAGGTCAGGTCAGGGGGGTTGTGAAGAAGGAAGGGTGGTGATGTCGTCGTCAACAGTGGTAGCTGAAGAGTATGCAGGAGGTGATTGATTTGCCTCGGACCCAGGAAGGCTAAAGGGCAATCGGAAGCATTCGGGGTGACGGGGAAAGAAAAGGAAAAAAACCCCGTAAGCGCAGTACGGTACGGGTATCGGAGGGGCGGGGAGGGGCACGAGTACAGCACGAGTACCGTACCGTACAAGCAGGAGGAAAAGGAAGCAAAAGCAAGCAAAAGGAGGGCGAAGGATGCCTGATCGCAGCCTCGGAGGCAACAAAAATAAAATAGGGGGGAGGGGGCACGATAGCCCCCAGCACAGCTACTGTACAGGAAATCCGCTCTACAGTATTGTGAGTATCCTCCAGCACGGGCAGGCTGGGTCACTTTGAGGCTGTGGCCCAGCAGAATGCCGACCGAGGCCGATTGCCCAGGTGCAGAACCGAGTGATCGGCGTCGCTGAGGGGGAGGGGGAATGCACGGCTTACTCCGCCCAGGCCATCGTACTGTAGGATTGATCCCCAAAGCCCATGCTGCCCCTCAACCGAGGTCACCACCCTGTGATCCGTGCCCGCGTTTCACCTCCTGGGTTACGTGGGATGAAACGGCCATACAGCTGCCAGACACCCTACCCACCCGCCCGCAGACGACACAAGCCAGCCAGCCAGCCAGCCAGCCAGCAGGAAGGGGCACGAAGAGCAGTCGTGCTGTGCGATATCCTACCCAGAGCTCCGTGTGGGGTGGGCACGGAGAGCTCGACGGTTGAGTTGCCCACCACTCCACAGAAGCAGAAACTTTACCGTAAGGTAGTCCATCCACCCTCACACATCCACACATTTAACCCACCCATCCCAAATGATATGATACGGTAATTCATGCCCCTTCAAGTTTAATACCAGTACCGGTACCGTGCCTGGATTAATTACCGTATCCGGAACCGCGCAAGCACGTCACAATGGGTAGGGTCTGGGAAGCGTGGGATGGGAGAAATAATATAAAATACCCGCCCAAACAAAACGATTTTGCCCGCGCACGACACTCAGTGCTCGATAACCTCATGGAGATCCCGGGTGCACACAGCACAATCGCCTTTCCGAGCCTTCGGGGGAGGGATCTGCCGTGTCCACCCTACCCATCGAATCGTCCGTGCCCGGTGCAACAGGTGCGACGGAACACACCTTATCGCACCTATCGATCAAACATCCAACATACAGAACAGTAATGCCAGAACCCACTGCCCGTTCCAACAGAAAAGGCCTCGCGACAATACCACACCACGCACCACCCCCATAACTGCACAAGCAAGCTCAAACCGCACCGGCATCAACAGCGATAATCAGCAAAAGAGTACACTTGCTCATAGGGCGCACGGTAAATTACGGTGATCCCTTGGGTGAATTGTGCCCGAACCCCAAACCTGTTGACTTATCACCATCAACTCTTCAACCAGCAATCACCAAAACCTCGAATCCTGCATGTTGCATGCATAAAGCACCGCCTCACTCGTTTTTTTTTTTTTCCTTCCCCTTTTCTTCCCTTCCCCCCCTGCACCCCCGCCGCGCCCTCTCCTTCGCACACCCGAATCCCGACTGCAGTATCGCGGAGAAGAAGCCAAAAAGCAAATTCCCCGACCGTTCCCTGGGAGAGAAAAAGGAAAGAAGAGACCATGCACATCTTTTGAGCTTCAGCTGTTCAAGGATCACTCCTCCCCTCCATAAGGCAACCGGAAAAACATCCATCCAAAGCCCCACCACCACCACCACGGACCACCGTTCGTCCCGGACCGTAATGGAGAGGGAAAAAAGGAAGAAAAAGGAATACCGTACATCTTTTGCCATGGCGCACTATGGAAAGGGCCTAGGGAAGAAAGAGGCGGGGGAAAAAAAATACCAAGGGCTACGACTGCTCTGCAGATTCCGCGACCATATCACGAAATTCCAGTATCATAGCCTGGCCACCGCCACATCATCGCCAGCGCCACATAAAAGCACCCCCCACATTCGTCTGATGTTTTTTACAGAGCGATCACCGGTGGCACAACCAATAGCGTGGTGTGTAAGTCGGGCCTTTCTTATTTTTTTTTTTCCTTTCTTTCAAAAAAAAAAAGGCGGACAAAACCAACCTCTGATACCGTACGAGTATGCAGGGGCCTACTGGTGAAACAGAGACCGAGGCTGGGTGTTTAGGTTTATTTTTAGCCATGCACCGTTTGGTGGGTGGTGGGTGTTGCGTGTTGCGCAGAGTGAAGGGTAGTTACTCGTAGTGGTGGTGAAAATCATGGATTATCGCTCGCGTTTGACAGGGCGTTTGGGTGAGTGAGTAATGAATGGGCATATCTACGATAAGGTGACAGGAACGTACGGTGAGTCCGTCCGTATGTAGGCATGCGAGAAGAAAGAAATGGAAGGGGATAGAATAGAGCGCGGTAAGTAATAGGGGCGGGAAACAACGAAGAAGAAGAGAAGGGGGGGAAGGGAAACATGGAAGAAAAAAGTCAACCTCGCCAGGTGCGCACTCACTCGCTATGACTACCACTCACGGGCGGATAGATGGATAGAGACGGTGACGGTGATGGTAATGACGATGATGAGAAACTTTCAGAAGCATACTCCCGCAGCCGAGGAGAAAGGCGGCCTGCTCACCTCCCCTCCCCCCTCCTGCAGTGGGTCAGTCAGTCATTCAACCCTTCACTCTCCCTGTTCCCCTCTCTCCCTCTATAGCATTACCATTATCACCCCCACCCCGTCCCGTGCGGTGCAGTGTGGTGCGGTGGGAGAGGATAAAGGACAGTTCGTTCGTTCGTCGACAACCACCACCTCCCATCGCTTAAACAGTTTTGCAGGGCCAGGCCAACAACAGCACAGGAGGCTTGCCACCGTCACTTTTGCCTGGCTAGCAGGGCCGGAAGTTGGAAACCAGATCCACATTGCATTATAACGAAACGTAAAGCAACGCAACAACGCGACGCAACGCAACAACTGCACGGTATGTATGTAAGAGCAACTCGTAGGCGTAAACATGCAAACGGACAGGGCAACAAAATGCAGTCCTATTGGGAATGGGGGATGATGCGATATTCGGAATGTTTGTCGCAGCCGCAGAGTTATCATGTCACATATGCGGTATCGTCGCACATAGCGAGTCTGTTAGGACGGGAGGGAGGGAGCGAGCGAGCGAGAGGGGGAAAGGGGGAAATCATTCCTCAATCAGCCCAAGCACACACACTCTCTCGATGTTTTGGAGGATACGAAGTAGGGCGGTGGGGGGATGCTGACGACTACAGCGCCGCTCGCTGTTTCCATCACACATGCTACGGTATCATTGGCAATCGGGGGGTTTTTTTCTCTTATACAGCATGGTATAGTATGTGCGATAGCGTGCGGAGATCTCGACATGCCGATGTGAGTACTGTACTCGCACTTCGTACGGCACTCTGCGGCACTGTGGGACAGTACCGTACGGTAGATGACCGTAGAGCGCCGACCGGGTACTGTACTGTACGAATACTGCACTGCACCGGTATTACCCAGCCAGTAACCCCATCACGATACCGGTGCTCGACCAGGCACTTGTACGGTGCCTCTAGCACTGCCGATCCCTACCGTTCTGGGCGAGAAGGGGGCGAGCGGCGAAAGCGAGAGCAATACCGCACCATCAGTACGAGTACCGTAGCACAGAGACCGGACGAAGGAAAGTCACGAGCTCCAGGAGAGAAATCAGAGAAATCAACCTCACTGGACAATTCCTCGCTTCTCACAAGCCCCCCCCCATTCCCCCCATTCCCACTCGATTCAATTCGATTAACTTATCGTGCAACTTTGCTTTCTTTCTTTCTTTCTTTCTTTCCTTCCATTTCCGGGAGTAGCTAACATACCACCAGTATGGTAGAGTATCATCCATATCATCGTACAACCCCCTTCTTGCCTTCCCCTCTCCACGCAAAATCTACAAATCACCTATTTCCCTCAACCCGAAACATAGCCCACAAGTGCGATACGGTACCTACCCTCCTCCCTCCCTCCCTTCCTCCTCCTCGCCCCCCGCCCGTTTTGCCGAACCCCAGTGTACGGTACTGTACCCTACTGTACGGCCGCCATCCTTTTATCAGCTCGATCGCGTATGTATGATATTATGGCGCTGTAGATGGCAAGCTAGCTGCTGTAGGTATCATACTCGAGTACTCGTTGGGTGAGGTACGGTGCCGCGCCTTCCTATACCGCGCACAACCGCCACTATTTCGCGTCCGTGCGGATCGCCGCGCGATACTGTACTCTACATTGTTATCTCATAATCGCAGCGGATACGGGTACGATACGGCACTGTACTAGTACTCGTACTAGTACTGTACAGTACTAGGGTGTGCGCTCCATGGCCGTGGGTGACCAAAGCTTCCTGCTATCTGAGCAGATTCCATACCGAACCAATCCTTCTAATATCTCCCGTGAGGGTATCATAGTGGTAGCACCGTACGAGCACTTGTAAAACATCACCCCTCCGGACCCCGCAACCCCTGACCACCCTATCCCATCACCCACCCGCACGATCCTCGCACAAGCGGGGATAACGCCAATATTGCGTGCTTTTTCTTATTCATTTATCCTGCTCTGGTATCAGCACGGGTTACCTCACCTGGATAATGCCGTCTATCATACCGTGCTCCATTGCAGTACTGTACCCAGGTGCGAGGGCAGAAACGCCCGAACGCGTGGAAGGGAGGAGCAGCGGAAAAAGAAAGGAAGAAGAAAGGAATCAAACCCGGTGAGTTGACGATTGGTCCAGTTTTTTTTTTTACTTTTACTTTTCCGGTTTAATCCATGATGCCGAGTGGGCGAGTGACCGACTGATTGATTGAAGAGAATGAAGAGCTCCCGGTGAGGCGAGGTGAGGGGTCGAACTTGCTGTATTCTACTCGTAGCTTAACCCCCCGCCCCGGACGAGGAAATGAGAAGAAAAGAAAAAAAAAGAGAGGCAAACCGAGAGCATCATGGCTGCGATACATACAGTACCAGTGTAGTACGGTACACTTCTCTACAGCCGTAGCTAGTCTACAGCAGCGGGGCCGCAGACTGCCGGTACGAATGACCTCAGTACCGCACTTGATAGCAACTAAACTCCAAAGCCCGTCCAAGTCTGGTAAGTACAATACAATAACAAGCACCCGAAGTGGGACATCCCAAGCGGCATCTTGTTATATGTCATTACTCGAGTAGAGATGAAATTACAGTACACTAAAAAAAATCAAATCAAGATTTCAAGATTTCAGCTCTGGAGCGGTTTTCGCTTACCGCTTTCGTCTCGTTGCAGGTCGCGTCTAGCTCGGAAGGAGTGACCGGATGCGAACACCTCGAGTTGAGTTGGTGTTTATGGTGAACCTTGCCTGGTGGTTTCCGTACGGCACGGCAGCATACCAATTATTGTTACCTTGCTATCGCGAGTAAATTTACGGGTATGATACCCGGGGCGCCTGGAATGGAAGTGGGCGAGTATGAATGGTTGCTGATATTTTTGATACTACCGCACGGGGCGAGCACGATAGAGTGAAAGGAACAAACATGAAGATACGGTGAGGGCCTTGGGATACGATTTCGTGCGGTACTGTAATTGTGGCTTTTAAGCGAAGTCTCGCCACCATGCTGCAATGCACGCATAAAACATGCATACAGTTGGTATGATACGGTGACTGGTACAGCAGTACCCTATCTCACAACCAAGCTCGAGATCTACTGTGACCAACCTGACCACAGCACCATAGCTGCTGGAGTACCATCAGTACCCGTACTGTGCCATCTCAGCAACAGTGAACCAGAACCAAAAATCAAGGAACCAAGAACCAACCCCTCACGCTAAGGTATCTTCTATCATACTCCCCCCACCCCGCCCCCCCTCGCTTCGGAGTTCCCGTCGGATGCCGTGCCAATCGATCTCTTTCCGGTGATCATACATCATGGCACTTTGAGCATACGGGTATCATAGCACACAGCAAAAGTAAAGGTAAAACTAAAAACTAAAACTAAAACTAAAAAAGTCCCATCCATCCATCCATCCACCCATCCTCACCACCTCTTCCATCACCCCAACCCAATCGGTCAGTAAAAAAACACCGCGCGTGGATAATAATAATACCATCAACCATATCACACAAAAGGGTAATTAAACGGGATAAAAAAATATAAAAAAAAGGTAAGCCCACCCAATCAAAAAAAAAGAAGCCTCCCCCCCTTCTTTCCAAAATGAGAGATAAAAAATAAATAAAAACCCCCCATTCCAAATTCAAGAGTAGAGTAATTAGACCAGACTAAGCGCTGAACGAATAGAATAGAACAGAATAGAACGGAACGGAACAGAACAGGAAATTCCATTCTATCCAACTGAACACACACACACACACACCTCTCCCATTCCACCACCAATAATAATAGTGACCCGGAGCGCTATGGATGCCTGCATTAGCTTCATCGTGGGGAAGATCCCCAGGAAAAAGGGGGAAAGGAGGGGTTGGGTTGGGTATCATACTAGACTATCTCCATATCTTTGTGGAAGAAGGAGGAGGGGCTTATTTTTTTTTCTTTTTTTTTTTCTTTCCTTTCAAGCTTTTTTACTTTTTGCTTTCGGATAAACTTGTATGATTATTATAATTTGTACCGTACCCGTCGGTGCTATTGTGTGCGACGGACCGGGGTGGGGGGGGGGGGTGGTGCAACTTGTTCCCGATGGATGGATGGTATCATATTAGGCTCCATGCCTTATATGCACGTACTCGAGTAGTCGGGGTCTTTGAAATCACCTGACACACTGGGTAGAAGGAGGGGGGGGGGGAGGGGAAGGTTATGGGGGGTTATGGTATATATCATACTTTTCATACTTTTTTTTTTTGAAGATAAAAGAAAGTGGTATAGTATTTGGCGTTATGGATGAGTATG